AAGAAGGATGGATCAATGCATCTCTGTATTGATTATCGACAGCTTAATAAGGTGACCATCAAGAACAAGTATCCCCTTCCGCGTATTGATGACTTGTTTGATCAACTAAAAGGAGCTTCGGTATTTTCGAAGATCGATCTACGTTTGGGTTATCATCAATTGAAGATTCAGGAGAAATATATTCCGAAGATGGCTTTCAGAACGAGATATGGTCATTATGAATTCATTGTAATGCCATTCAGAGTAACGAATGCACCTGCTGCTTTTATGGATCTTATGAATAGGATTTTTCATCCTTATTTAGACCAGTTTGTTGTTGTCTTTATTAATGACATACTGGTGTACTCGAAATCCATTGAAGAGCACAGCGCACATCTGAGGCTAGTTTTGTAAATTCTCAGGGATAAGAATCTTTATGTGAAATTGTCCAAATGTGAATTTTGTCTAAACGAAGTAATTTTCTTGGGGCATGTGATCTCGGCAGATGAGATTAGAGTGGACCCTCAGAAGGTTAAAGCTATAATGGACTGGGAAGTTCAAAGAATGTATCTGAAGTTCGGAGTTTCCTTGGACTTGCCGGTTATTATCGAAGATTCGTTAAGAATTTTTTGATGATAGTGCTGCCCTTAACGAAGATGATGAGAAAGAATGTACCGTTTGTTTAGACTTCTGAATGTCAAGAAAGTTTTGAAGCTTTAAAGAGAATTCTGACAGAAACTCCTATATTGGTTCAACCGGAATCTGGAAAGAATTTTGTAGTATACAGTGACGCGTCCCATAACTGGTTGGGGTGTGTATTAATGTAAGAAGGTAAGGTGGTGGCGTATGTATCGAGGCAGTTAAAACCATATGAAAATAATTATCCCACCCATGATTTAGAAATGGCTGCTGTAGTATTCGCTCTCAAGATTTGGCGTCATTATCTGTATAGAGAACGATGTTATTTGTATACGGATCATAAGAGCTTGAAATACCTGATGACTCAAAAAGAGCTTAATTTGAGACAAAGGAGATGGGTGGAGTTTTTGAGAGATTATGATGTGATAATTGACTATCATCCCGGAAAGGCTAACTTGGTAGCAGTTGCCTTAAGCAGGAAAACGTTTGCAGCATTACGAGCTATAGATGCAAGATTATCTTTAACTGGAGACGGTGGTCTTTGTACAGAGTTAAAACTTAAACCAGCATGGTTGGAACGAATAGGAGAATTGCAAAGTAAAGATGAAACGTGTTTGAAAAGAATTGAGCAAGTAAAGAGCAAAGAGATTAAAGACTTTGAGGTTAAGTCAGATCGAAATATGTATTGTAAAGGAAGAATTGTGATACCCGACACTGAAGACTTGAAGAAAGAAATATTAACAGAGGCTCATTGCAGTCCATTAATGATGCACCCGGGTAGAACCGAGATGTATATGGATTTGAAGGATCGATTTTGGTGGCCAGGGATGAAACGAAGCATCACCGAATTTGTGTCTAAGTGTTTGATATGTCAACAAGTCAAAGCTGAGCATCAAGTTCCGTCAGGATTATTGCAACCGCTTTATATTCCTCAATTGAATTGGGAAAATGTTATGATGGATTTTGTTTCGGGGTTACCCTTGACTTCGAACAAAAGAGAATCAATCTGGGTAATTGTTGATCGATTGACTAAGTCAGTGCATTTTCTTCCGGTTAGAACATATTTCTCTATGGAAAAGAACGTTGAGTTGTATATTAGAGAAATTATTATATTGCATGGAGTGCCTGTTTCCATAGTCTCTGATCGAGACCCTCGATTCACTTCTAGATTCTGGAAATCTTTGCATGGAGCGTTGGGAACTCGTTTAAACTTTAGTACGGCTTTTCATCCTCAGATTGACGGGCAATCAAAGAGAACTATTCAGATATTGGAAGATATGTTGAGAGCATGTGTAATGGAATTCAAAGGATCATGGGAAAAGTATTTACCGCTGGCAGAGTTCACTTACAACAATAGTTATCAGTCCAATATAAAGATGGCCCCATATGAGGAATTATATGGGAGGAAATATCATACACCATTAAATTGGTATGAACTCAAAGATCGAATTGTTCTTGGTCCGGATTTAATTTAATATGTAGAAAAGAAAGTTCAAGAAATTCAGCATAACCTCAAAGTACCCTCTGATCGGTAAAAGTCCTATTCTGATCTTAAAAGAAAAGAGATTGAATTCGAGGTTGGAGATAAAGTTTTCTTTAAAGTATCTCCCTGGAAGAAAGTATTACGTTTTGGTCGGAAAGGAAAGTTAAGCCCTAGATTCATTGGGCCATATGAAGTTGTTAAGAGGATAGGACCCGTGGCATATCAGTTATCCTTGCTACCGGAAATGGAGAAGATCCATAACGTCTTCCATATGTCCATGTTACGAAGATATAGGTCCGATCCCTCTCACATCGTTGCACCAGAACAAGTAGAAGTCCAATCGGATTTGACATATGAAGAAGAACCAGTGAGAATATTGGCTTATGAAGTCAAACAATTAAGGAGTAAGACAGTTCCGTTGGTCAAGGTTCTTTGGAGAAATCACAAGGTAGAAGAAGCCACGTGGGAACGTGAAGAAGATATGCGACTTCAATATCCCCATCTGTTCGTACAATAAAAATTCGAGGACGAATTTTCTTAAGGGAAGGAGATTTGTAACATCCTCCAAATCGGGTTAGTGATCAAATTGTGAAATTTTAAAAGTTAGTGACCAAAGTAGATAAATTGAATAGTTGAAAGATTTAATGGGAATATTTCATGTAGGATGGATAAGTAAAGAAGGGAAATTAAAGGGGCAAATAAGTCTTTTAACAAGGAAATTAAATAAATCTTAGTTTGAGGATATTTATTCCCACATGGAAGCTAATGAGAAAGACCAAAAGTTTTCAGATTTCTCTTCTTCTTCTTTCTTCTTCTTCTTTCTTCTTCTTCCCCGTGAAGACAAAGTTAAAGGTGAGTTTTCTTGTTAATCAAACTCTTGATGAATTTAAGGTTTCTTATTGATCATTGGATGATAACTAAGCTTAAGGAAAGCTTAGGTTATCTTAAAATCAAAAGATGATGGAGTTAAGACGGATTAAAGAAATGAAGTAGAAAAGTGAAATCTTAGAATAGAGTTCATAATAAGAATTAGAAGTGGGATTTGACTTGTTATCAAGCTAATTAAAGGATAGGAAGTGTTAGAATTCGATTTAGAACATGTTGAAATTGAGTGAAATTCTTAAATTTTATATGGAGAATTGGATTTCTAAGTTTTAAAGGTATCGAATGGATAATAATTAGTTTAAGTAAGTGTAAGCAAGTTAGGGATATAAAAAGAGGGGATATATAAAGTGTTGAGAAGATTAAGAAGAAATTTTAGTGCTTAAAAGACATTTCTGGGCAATGTGCATCGATGTACATTCAATGTGCACCGATGCATCAAGGATAAATCCCAGAAATTGTTCAAGGTGTACCGACGCACATGAAGTGCATCGATGCACTCTTTTAAAATACAAACATCGAATGCCATCGATGCATAAGGAGTGCATCGATGCACCTCTTAAATACAAACATCGAATAGGATTTATGCATCGATGCATGGTGTAGTGCATCGATGCATACCTCCATTAAAAGATAAAAATGGCTTTTCTTTTAGCCTAAGAAATGATAGTTTAGAATATACTAATTAGTATACTGATAAGTATCAATGAATTACTATGTAGATATCGAGCCTAAACGAGATTTAGAACAATCGACAAGTAGGATTGATCGAGGGAAAGACAAAGAAATCTAGGTGAGTGCATATGCATAGCATGAATATGTATTCTATTCAGTTCTAGACTTGTGATAAGTCTAGATTCAATATTTTGATATATGATCGCATTTCATATTATGATACATGACATGAATTCATACCATATGCATTATGTGACATGATTATGCAAGAAAATGTTATATGAGTTATGTGATAAAGGTATGAAAATGATATGTCTATGTGATAAAGGTATGAAAATAATATGTCTACGTGATACAAATTATGTGAATTGTGAAAGCACATGTTATCTAGATGAGAACTATAGGTATAGTTGGCATGCCAAGGGTAGAAGGTCTACGCGGTCCTTCGGGATATATATATATTCTTTGAAATATGTGTGAAGTCTTGTGAGACACATACTTGATCCCTAGTATATGTATATGATTCTTAAGGAATGATATGTGGTCCTTATGGACATTATTATATGGCACTCCGGTGCAATTATACGCGGCACTCCGGTGCAATTCTACGTGGCACTTCGGTGCAATTATACGAGCTGTGGTGACAGCATAGTGCACAACCTCACAATACTCACATACCTTAGGTTCTCAGTATGGTACCATGGGCTAATGAACTTAATAAGGTGAACTTATGAATGTGAATTTGATAAGTATATGTGTAAGAAACATGGTTATGGTTATTGCATTGTTTACATACATCTTATCATTGTAACTCATCTCATTTTGGCAATTCCTTTATATTTTATTGTTATTAATATATTGCCTCACTAAGTCGATGACTTAGCGTGTGAGTGTTTCACACGTAGGATCCGATAAAGTAGACGATCGAGGTTAAGCAGCTGGACAATATTACTCCTGCAACTATCAGATCATAAGCAACTTAATCAGTAGGTCATTTTGTTATGTAAATGGATGTTGGCATGTAACTAAAGGGTTAAGTTGTGTATTCTCTGAGTATTGTGATAAACTTGTATTAATATATGTATATTATTGTATTTTAATAAAATAAGTTCGAATGTTTTATCAGTTTTTTAAGTATTATTTTGTTTAGTCAATGTGACATCCTGGACTCGTATCCGTGTCGGATATGAGTTGAGGGTGCTACATATATGTTAGAAATGAAGGTGCAAATGTGAAATGATAGGGCAACATATCAAGTAATTGCTTTAAATATATTACCCTGTCATTATGTCTTTCGAGTTGCGTGCATGTAGAATTGTCTTCTAAAGTCATAATTCAATACAAATTCAACTGTAAAATTTTCAAAACATGTAAAAAATCCATTTCGTTCACTATATATCAGTCCTATAATCAACATGAACTTATTAAAAAGAATACGAGCTCACAGGACGCCAAAAACCACAGGTCGGATCAATACAATTCCCAGTAAACTAGTACCAGCAGTCTCTCGGATTGAGCCTGGCGATTTCACTATGTCGATACTCACAACCAATTCCCTGATTTAAAGAAAAACCAAACAAGAAGATCAAAAAAATTTAGCCTAGGACCCTCTTTTGCTTCTATTATGATGGACTGAATATCTTTCATAAGAAGTACTAAAAGTTTTAAATAAGAAGAAGAAAAGAAAATTAGATGGTTTGGTTCAAAACTAATACTGAATATACAGATCCTTGACATGCAGTTCCAGGAACATAAAAATTTCAACAACAAAAATACACACAATGCGAGTTGAAAATGGGAAAGTGCGAAAGAGGAAAAGCTTACTTCCAGATAGCCCAAAAGAGAAAATAAATACCTTATTGCAAGTGAGAGGATATACTAAGAAATAAACATAATTAGTGTTGCGTTTTAACAATTCTTTCTCCATTTTTTCTTTGTAAATAAAAAGCTGAAAGACAGAGCACTGCTTGGGTTTACAATTTTACATGGCGGAAAATTGAAGAACAAAAACCAAACGAGAGTGCATGTGAGCGAAAGAGACTGATAGGTGAATGTGTTGTTTGAGATTTCAATATATTTGATCATCTGTTGGAAAATCTTTAACCACAATGATTAAACGAAGAAATTATTATATGTCATTTATACAAAATAATTCTAGCTTTGTGGGTGACTTTCAACAATGATATTTAGTTAATCTTAGTAGTATTCGTCAACTCTGTATTTCTAACCCCATTTTTTTCTCACAAGCATTTCATCGAACATCTATGTTTCACTTGAGATGATCTGTATCTAACATTACACCTTGAATCGTTGATGGTCCCGATAGTCCCTTGGTCGGGTCTTCTCTCAATGGACCCTTATTCAAGTCAACACCTCCACATAATTCAAAGTTAGATTAGAATTTCTCATCCATCCCCGGCTAAAAAGTTACACTGGAAATAAGAAGAGATAAGCAAAAAAGGAAATTCGAGATCGAAAAAGAATTTGGGGTTTAGAATAAAATTAAGGATTGTGTTGTAAGTTTTAAAAGTTGGGAGACCTAAATGCAAGTGCCTAAAAAGTTCAGTGACCATATTGAAAATGTATTAATGGTAGTGTAACGGTCGGGGACCATATTGCAAACGGACTAAATGTTAGAGGACTGCATTGTAAGTTTTAAAAATTGAGAGACCTAAATGAAAACTTTAAAAAAGTTTAGTGACTATTACTATACTTTACCCTTTATTTAATTGCTGCGGTTAAAAATCAAATATTTTATATCTCAACTTGGTTTTTGTCAAAAAGATGGGGCGTACGAATTCGTTTATATTTTAATTTAAATTTGCATGCATTAATTAATTATTCCTCAAATCAATAAACTATTTATTAATATCTTTGTCAACTAACCCATTAGGTGAAAATTGTGGCTTTTGGGTGACTTGAAGAGTTGCTTATGGCATGTTTAAGAAATAATAAAAGTAAAAAAATATAATATCACATCAAAACCAAAGTCCAAAACGGCAAAGTAGCATGAGTGGACAGTTTCCACAACATCACCAATCACCATTATCATTTTGCTTAGACCAAAAGATATATGGTATTATTATTAAGGACTAATATAAGAAAAAGTTTTAAAATTATATCAATTCTTTTATTTATGTATTTAAACTATTATTTTTCGTTAATTCAAGCGTTTAATTTTTTTAACGTTATATTTTTAGATGTATGAATTATCACAACCGTTAAATTTCATCGTTAAATGATATGTGTCACATTTATAAAATTGTATATTTTTAAAACACTTAAAAATATTATTTTTAAAAAATATTTTTTTTGAATCATAAAAAAACCCTTTGCCATCATCGATTGTAGCTAACACCGTCAACTATCCAAAATTTCAATGGCGTGTGACCGCCAAACACCCAACGATCAAAATCCCCTACTCTTACCTCTAATTACAGCAAAAATCAGTGGTAGCGGCAAAAATTAGCGATCGTGAAATCTTGTATTTACACGATCGTTGGATGTTCAACAGCTTGCGAAAGTAAGGGGTTTTGGTTATTGGGTAGTTGGTCAATCATACGTTGTTGGGTGTTCGGTAGATTGACGACGTTGGTGGTTGTCGAAATGAAAAATGGATTGAAATTAGGGTTTTAAAATATTTTTGGGTTCGTTTAGTTTTATAAACTTTTGGGTTTTTTCTTTAAAAATATAATTTTAAGTTCTTTTAATTTAAATAAAATTTTATAAAGACAACTTTATCGGTGGAATTTAACGACGGTGACTGTCTAAGTACCTAAAAGTGTAATGTTAAAAATGTTAGACACCTTAATTGATCAAAAAATAGTTTAGACACATAAATAAAGAAAAAGATATATTTTATGTACTAATTTTTTATTAAACCTATTATTAACCCTAAAATAACAAATCATTCGTGTAATCTATATCTCAACAAGTAAAATATTACCTTTTCAATTTAGTTATATTTTTTGAGATATAACACTTTCGTTTATTAAGATTATTTTTGAAGAGACTTTTCTATAAAGTAAAATTTTTCGTTGATTAAAAAATTCTGATAAGAGTTATGATAAATTTAATAAATTTATTAAAGTCAAATTTATTGACTGACGATTATATTTGTATATTTTGTTGGTATATGAATAACAATGGTGATCATATGTCTAACATCATCAATTCAGGGACATACGTAAAATTTTATGTTGGAGACAAACCTCTAAAATTTTAAGATACGAAAAATTATAAAATTTCAGGGGACAAAAATATATTTTCAATAAAAATATATAATATATATGATAATTTTAAATTTTCAAAAGACGATTGCCCTCACATGTAGTCCATCCATGACCATCATACAAAAAGAATCGGTATATAAATTCTATACCAGGTAAGAGAGAGGGAGATTCTTCTTCTTGTTGACTATCACAGTTCTCCTTCGGCTTTTCGACCTAAATATCACCTTATTTTTCTAATATTCCCGATGTAAAACCATTTTTCCAATATTCCTCAAAGTAACACTCATTCGTCTGATGTGGGGATAAGGCGCGTTCCCGGGAGTGCGCTTTCCCGGGAGTGCGCTTTAACGGGATTTTTGCTGACAAGGCAAAAGGCGCGTTTCAGGGGACGCTCTTTACATGAGTTTCTGCTGACTGGGTTGCCACGCGGGTAAAACGCTTTGCAGGGGCGCGTTTTAGCGGGATTCTGTGCCACATCGGAATGAGCGTTTTCGGGTCCATTTATAACAAACTTGACGTGAATAGTGTCCACCGGGGGACATCACACATAATAAGGCAATTATAACTTATTCTCTGACAAAAAGGAAATGTGCGTCCATAAGAAGCGCTTTCACCACATTGTTGCATCCCATAAAACATAATAGGCATTGATATGAATAGTACCCCGTCAGGGGACATCACACATAATAGGGCAATTATAATCTGATGAACTACAGAGAATCTCTAACAAAAAGGAAAGCTGTGTCCCACAATAAATGCTTTCACATGAATAGTGCCTCGGTTATAGACATTATTAAATGCAGTATATTTTAAAATTTCAAAACACATAATTGTTCTCAACTTTTTAATCTCTCATACTCTAAAATTCTCAAACTCTCAAACATATATTCTCTAAAAATAAGTCGTCTTTCTGATATTGTTTACTATGATGGAGAAATTTGGGAATCTGAAGAGGGGGTTGTTTTTGAACCAGATCATTATATCCCCTTAACCTTGAAGAGAAACATCACTCTTGAGGAGTTAATCATAAAAATTTTGTTAAAAATTCGTGTTGCAGGTAGGAGAAAACTATCTTCACTTCAGTTCAGCTTTCCAATGATGAAGATATTACTATGATGGTTGATGCTCATATGAGAAGTTCACAATATCTTATTGAAATATATGCCACTTTTATTGAGGTTTGTGCTTCTCGTGGTCTGTCATATTCCTCTCATTATGGCTTGGCGTATCAAGCTGATCAAGTTGACAGCCCGACTCATTTGATTTGTAATGATTTCACATCATTAATTGCAAATCCAACATCAGCTGCCATACCATCAAATTCAATAGGAAGACATTCATCAACAACTACTTATGATCTCAACCCACGTGGCTTCACCAATAATCCATATGGAAATATCTCTTCTACTTCAAGGGGTAGGCATTCATCTGCCACCGTTTTTGACTTGAACATGGAAATTCTATCTACACAACAGTTTGTTCACAACCCATATGGTACAATGACTTCAAGTTTAAGGGGAGGACATGCATGTGGCAACTTCTTTGACCTCAACATTGGATTATCTAGGGAACCCTCATCTCCACCAGAAGAACCTCTTCGCGAGCCAGTACATATAGTGCTGAAACAGGATTATTCGTTGAACTTGACTAACCACAATTTAACATACACTCTGATGATGATGATGAAGTTCATATAAATACAACACTGATCAACTTACTGCACATATGTATGGGGCTGACTATGTGCAATGTACGGGCATGAATTTCTGGATCTCCCTAATGTTGGTAACTATGTATTTCACTCATCAGTCAATGATGGTGACTTATATATTAGAATGGAGTTCTCATCGAAAGAGGGAGCAATGAATGCAATTAAGAATTACAATATTCATAAATCAGTTCACTCCCAAGTTGATCAATCTACCACGGAGAAATATATTTGCTACTGTGTCCAACATGATAACGGATGTAAGTGGATGGTTCGTGTATCAAAAAGGAAGAGGAAGAACAACTTATGAGAACTAACAAGATACAACGATCCCCATACGTGTTGTGCAAGAGGTATCAACCAGGATCATCCCAACTTGGACTTGAACATTATTTGCCAATCTATCATGCCCATTGTGAAGCAAAGCTCTAATATAGCTGTTGCAGTTTTGATATCTGCTATACAATCATAATATGAGTACAATGTCTCCTACAAAAAAGCTTGGATGGCAAAACAGAATGTCATTGTCAAACTTTATGGCGAATGAGATTCCTCTTACAACGAGTTGTCCAGTTGGTTTCAAGTTATGCAAAGACTTAATCCCGGGACAATTGTTGAGTTCGAAGCTCAACATCATTATGTGAATGATTGAGTAGTTCGCGATCGATATCAATTCTACCGTATATTTTGGACTCACTCTTAGTGTATTAATGCAGTGAAGTACTGTAAACTAGTTGTCCAAATTGATGGTACTTTCTTGTATGGGAAATACAAGCAAGTTTTATTATTGAATGTGGTCCAAGATAGTATTCGCAATATTCTTCATATTGCATTTGCCCTTATTGAAGGAGAATATATTGAGTCTTAGACTTTTTTCCTAAAAAAATTACGTTTGCATGTTGTCATTAGGGAACGCGTATGCATCATTTCAGACCGAGGAGTCGGGATCAAAGTAGCAATGGACTCTTTGGGTCCAATGTGGAAACCTCAACATGTTCAATATCGTTATTGTGTCCGTCATATTACTGCAAACTATTATGGAAAATACAAGAAGAATGATGAATGTCAGTTAGTTATACGCCTGTGTATGTTATTTTTTCCCCATTTTTTTCAATCATTTTCATATTACTTATTTATACTTCATATTAACTATTACATATTCTTTATGGCTTAGGTTATGAACTCTTACCTAAAAGGTTTGAGTCTATGCTACAAGAATTGTTTGGCAAAAATAAGTGTTGAAAACATTTTGATGTTTCGATATAACAAATTAAGTTAAATGAATTTTAAGATTTTACAAAAGATTTTTTAAGTATATTCGATATAATTATTCAAATATAAAAATATTACTCCAAGTCTTTCAAAGTTCATTTTAATCCTTACTAAAGTGTAAAAATATGTTTTGATCTTTTAAACAAATTTACAAAGTATTTCGAGCCTTAATCGAGCAAAAAATATTTTCTTTTTAAAGGGGTTTCAAGAAAAACCAGATTGCCCAAAGGGAACAGATACCCTCAGGGGGTACAGATACCCCCTGAATGGTTTTGGCTCTGAGAAAACAGAATGTCCAGGGAGTACAGATTCCCCCTAGGGGGTACGGATTCCCTCCTGTTTAACGGTCAAAATATTTGAATTTTACACTGCAGCAACCGATTCCCTATGAGGGGGAACCGATTCCCTATGAGGGGGTACCGATTCCCCCCACGCTCCAAGCCGTTTTATTAATTGATTTTCACACTACAACGGCTCTAACATCACCCAAATGGTTCCCAACGGATAGAATCATCTCAAGGTGTATTTAAACAAGCTTAGAAGCCATTGATCAAGAACAATTAACAAGAATTGAGAGAGAATCAAAGAGAAAGCATCAAACTCATTGTTTGAGCACTTCAAGCCTATTTTTCATTCAATATTCATTGTGCTTTCAAGAACACCGTTTATGCTCTATTGTATTTATCCTTGATTGTTCTTTCTTTGTTCTAGAATTGTGCAAACAACCTACCTTGTGAGGTTTTCCTTGTAAGTTTGCAAATTTGTGTATTTCTCTTTGAAAAAGAGTGTGCTCAAGAATTTGGGGTATAATTCTTGAGGGAGTTGTAAGGTTACTCTTTGTCCTCAAAAGAAAGAACAAATTAGTGAATTTGTTGGAAAATCCTTAGTGTGGATAGCTAAGGTAGTGGACGTAGACTTTGGCTGAGAAAGTCGAACCACTCTAAATCGCTGTGCAAATATTTTTAATTTTCTGCAAAAGCTTCTACTAAAATTTTTATTGCCAATTCACCCCCCTCTTGGCCAATTCCATCGATAAATTAACTCAATAATTGGTATCAGAGCCTCACTCATTTGAAGGTTTAACCACCTCTTGAGTCGATTCAGGAAGAGTTAAATCGATAAAGATGGCGTCCACTTTCGGTTCATTCTCCATGGAAGAATCCAGACCAATTGGCTTGCCTTCTTACTTTAATGAAACAAATTATCATCGTTGGAAGAGGTTCATGATGATATTTATCCAAGAACATGATATGAAAGCTTGGATGATAATCGAGAAAGGATATTCCTCTCCTACGAAGAAGGAAAATAAGTGGAGTGATCAAGAATGGAAGAAAGCTCAACAAAACACAAAGGTTATGCACATGTTGTGTTGTGCAATTGAACCAGAAATATATAAAGGAATTTCTTCTTGTTTAAACACCAAGGAGCTATGGGATAAGCTTGAGGAAATCTATAGAGACGAGAAAGAAGTGCAAATTCCGATGATGTCTCTACTAGCTCTAATAGAGCCAAAGGTATCTTCAAACTCAAATAAGTTAAATTTATGTTCTTTTAATGAGTTACAAGATGCCTATGATGAATTATTTTCAGAGTTTGAGACCATGAACTCCAAATATAAAAATCTGATTTATAAATTTATTACTAAAAATGGTCTTCTTTTGAAAGCTAAAACAGACTTGGAAAATCAACATGAAATGTTGAGAAATGAGTTAGAGCTTTCAAAAATAAAATATGAAAACTTTGAAAAAGAAAATTTCAAATTAAACAAACTTCTTCTAGAAACGAAAATGGATTTTGAAAATCAAAATGAAATCTTGAAGAAGGATTTAGAGCTTTCAAAAATGAAATTTGAAAGTATTGAAAAAGAAATTTTCGATTTGAAAGTTAAGCTTGAATGTTTAACAAAAGAAAATAGATCATTTTAAATAATTCATCTAGTTCAATAATGACAATATGTTCACATTGTCATTATCATGGTCATAAGGAACATACTTGTCCTTTAAAGAAAAGAAAACGATTTAAAATTAGACAAGTATGGGTTCCAAAAGGAACAAGAGGCATTGAAACTAATGTTCAAGGATCCAAAGCAATTTGGATACCAAAATCTACTTAAATGTCTCTTGTAGGTGTGTGGGAGCAATGGTGATGAAGATGATGATATTCAAGATGCTCTATCCACACATGAAAAAAGAATGGGTAACCTCTAAACTTAATGTTATTATTTTATTTGGTTGCTCATTTAGTTTATGCATGCATGAGGTTTTAAATGTTGAATAATTCTAAATGATTATGTTTTATCTCATGTATGTTGAAAAATATTGTATGATGAACATAGTAACTTTTGGTAATATTTTATAAACTCTAGTTCATCATATTAATTTTTGGTCAAAATTGTTTTTAAAATGTATTTGATATCTCTTTAACAATTGATATTGATTTTTCAAGAACTTTGATTTTGCAAAATTTTGACCTTAAATTTTTCTTAATGTTTATGCATAGATCTTATTTTTTTAATATTATAAAGTTTTAATGCATAACATTTTCAAAAACTTTATGCATAAATTCTTAATCTCGATTATCGACATTGCATAATGTTTTATTTGTGAATGGATTAAAAGCATAATCTTTTGAAAAATGAATTTAATAAAAGATACAATGTCTTATTTTAAATTAATGTTTGCAAAATTGATTGACATTGCATCCATTTTGATTATGCTTGTTGGTCATAAAATAGGGATATATACATGGTGCATTTAGATTCTATTAATATGACTAATTTATGCCTAGTTGCTAAGGATGAGCATGATAATTGGTTATGGCATAGGAGACTAGGACATGCTAGTATGAGTGTTTTGCAATGATTGATTCAAGGAGATTTAGTTAGAGGGTTGTCAAAGTTAAAATTTGATAATGATAAAATCTGTGATGCTTGTGCTAAAGAAAAACATAGAAAACTTCCTTTAAGTCCATTAATGATGTATCAACTAGTAGAGTATTACAATTGATACATATAGATACTAGTAT